ATAGGTAGCATGTTTCGTCGGTACACAGGCACAATATTTCAAACACTAAAACTGCGTGACATTCTAAAATGTAGGCTACACAAAGTATGCATCATCAATAAGGTTTATACTGAATTTGGCCTTTTAACACTAAAAAGGGCAAGACCATAAAGAGAAATCAGAAAATTAAGTTATTGCTATTTTCCATCTTCTTAGGACACAAATAATACAATTTCATGATTTAAAAAAAACAAAAAAAAACATGACTTTTGTTTTAATGTTTGTATCCCCCGATTGTTTGATAAGAATTGTTTCATTTAATATAATAATCGATACTTTTGACTCATACCTTTTCTTAAAAATGGTTTAAAGGCTGAAATGTAAAGTTCGTCATTTTTTAAACTTTTTGTTTTTGTGAAAACCTGTATCTGAACTGTAAATCATGTTTTTTACAGTCATTTTTCATTTTAAGGTTTAATATGTTACCATAGACATTGCGCTACCCACTCATATGGTATTAATTTTATTTATGCAGGTCTTAAAAAGGCCTTTAAAAAGTCTAAAATTTGATCTTAAAAATCCTGCAGATACCCTGACCAATCATCCCCATCCCCCCATCACCCCTTCCGCTCAGATCTCCTGGATTTTGGTACCCAAGTGATGACAGGTATGCTCCTCCTCCTCCACCTACTATGGTAAACATACAAGAACAGTAACAGACAATTATTTTAAAAAAAACACAACATTTCTAAAACAAAATAAGAGCAGAAGCTACAACAGAGGTGTGTTGTGGTCAACTTTTTGTTTTTGTGAAAACCTGTATCTGAACTGTAAATCATGTTTTTTACAGTCATTTTTCATTTTAAGGTTTAATATGTTACCATAGACATTGCGCTACCCACTCATATGGTATTAATTTTATTTATGCAGGTCTTAAAAAGGCCTTTAAAAAGTCTTAAATTTTCAAGAGAGCAACACATGAAACCCTAAATCCACCTCATTTTGACCCCTAATCGAACCATTTTCTGGTCCATCTAGAACAAACTGAGCACTGAAGAATGTCTGTATTTCATCAGTTTTGAGCTCAAATCAGCAGATGATTCTCCCTCTATTAATGATTCTTCTGGACTCATTTTTCATTTTAAGGTTTAATATGTTACCATAGACATTGCGCTACCCACTCATATGGTATTAATTTTATTTATGCAGGTCTTAAAAAGGCCTTTAAAAAGTCTAAAATTTGATCTTAAAAATCCTGCAGATACCCTGACCAATCATCCCCATCCCCCCATCACCCCTTCCGCTCAGATCTCCTGGATTTTGGTACCCAAGTGATGACAGGTATGCTCCTCCTCCTCCACCTACTATGGTAAACATACAAGAACAGTAACAGACAATTATTTTAAAAAAAACACAACATTTCTAAAACAAAATAAGAGCAGAAGCTACAACAGAGGTGTGTAGAATAGCAGAAAAAAATGTATTAGTAAAATTAGTTTATTGTGTATTTTTGAAAATAGAGTTGTAAATGTAAGTCAAAGCTTTGTTTATCAAAACTTAGCTAATTTCAGGTTAGTTTTAACCACAGTAACTAGTAAAGCAAGTTTTTGTGAGGCGCTTCTCTTTGTGACAGTATTCAAAGGCTGTGCAGATGTATTCTCCACTGTGTGTGAAGTCAGTCTCATCTATGGTGAATGTGTCTGTGGTCACATTGGTGTCTGTTCCATTAAACTTCCAGCTGAATTAGGCAGCATGTTCAGAATTTGCAGAGTAAGAGAGCAACACATGAAACCCTAAATCCACCTCATTTTGACCCCTAATCGAACCATCTTCTGGTCCATCTAGAACAAACTGAGCACTGAAGAATGTCTGTATTTCATCAGTTTTGAGCTCAAATCAGCAGATGATTCTCCCTCTATTAATGATTCTTCTGGACCAATAAGTTACCAATAATCTGACATTAGTTATTCTTTCTGTGTGAGTGAGAGAGACAAAACAAAGACACAGAATCTAAAAACGAATCTTTCACATTTAGTGAGTACGGAATTTAATTCCGTTTGTAAAAACAGTGAGAATTTGTTATGCTACATTAAAAAAAAAAACCAGTACAATACTTATTTAGCAACTAACCAACTAAGTTTATAAAAACAAAGCCACTTCAAATTCACATTTGAGCTCAGACTACACAGTCCAGAGAGGCTGGTGGTACAGAAGGCCCATCAAAAATTAAATAAATCTTTATGTTTGAATATGTGCACCTCATAGAAATAAGGTTATTTCAGTTTCTATTTAAATCATCATAAATTGTAATATATGTATAATTTATTTTAATGGATTTTTATAGATGATAGAAGACTGAAAATCTGGGTCTGAGACGAGTAAAAAAACAAACAAACAATCAAAAATCTGTAGTCTAAAAGACATTTTAAAGTAAATTATAAAGGTAGTTTATAAAGTTTCCAAGACAGTTTTAATATTATTTCCATGTAACAACATTTTAAAAAGTTTAAATATGTATAGTTTTAATAAAAATCAACCTTTGGGACATGAGAATGTAAGAAGTAATGCCCATCTATGTAAAGCTGGTTTACTAGAGAAAACCACACAGATCACTGCGAATAACATGTGCCAATCGTTACCTAAATCATCATCATCATCATCATTAATATAACATTCTTTTTATTATTTCTGCTTGCCACTTTAACTGTCATAATTTTTACACACACATTTTATTTACAACATATTAAATTGCTGTTCTCCCTTTCACAAATTCATTTCGTACAATCATCCATTAGGTCTGCAGCTTATGGTAAATATACTAAAGCATTTTTAGCAACACACTCGCCAAACACTTGTAGTGAAGTTTCTCCTGATCTGAAGTAGTTTCTACAGTCAGTCTATATATTCCAGAATCTGTCAAATTCCTGTTTCTGTCAAAACTGACTCTGTCTCTGTATGCTGGGACTATTAAAGTTGCTGTCAATATAACAGTTGTTCCAAAATGCCACTGAACTGCATCAATTGATGTGGAGGGCAGGTTATCAGGAGCGAACACCACACTTCCTCCTACTGCTCCAGAAAACTGCAGATCTTCACCTAAATATTGTCCTACTATGTCAAAGAAAGTAAGAAAGACAAAAGGAGGAATACTTACATTTTTCTGCAATAAATATTTAACTTACTGTAGTACATTTTTTACTTTTATAGTTGAAGTTTTAGTTGGCAGACATACATTTTTTTTTCAATTACATCATTAAAATAGGCCCAACTAACCAGTTATTTAATACAGAAACTAAACACCACACCAAAACACCCTAAACATCTTCTGTTTTTCTGAATTTCTAAAAAGACTCACCAAAACACGACAACATCCACAGTGTCCAGTACAAACCATGAGAAACCATAACCGAGTTCTCATCTGTCAGGAGCTGCAGCTGCTGCATAAATCATCGGAACTATTTAAACGACTGTTATAGAATGCAGAGAGCTCACTGCGCCACCCAGCGCTCGATATTAACATGAGTCAAGACTTAGCATTTGATCATGTCAGTCACGTTACATCTGAATTAACCGGATTTATTCAAGTTGAAGAAATAATAAAATATAATTGACTCGATGGAAATATAAAATTATACTTAATTAGTTTTAGTTTTACTAGCCTATGTTATTCCACACTTCTTTTATTTGAACAACCTCAAAAACACTTTACAAACAAAATATTAATATTGATCATTTCTACTGGAGTCACCAAAATCAGACATTTGACACAATTGTAACAAATGACCAACACACACAGGCTCAGCTCCAGCTCCAAGTTATATAATCAATAAACATATACTATACATACAGTAGCAGACACACACAGAACATTGATTACAATATTTTTTGGTAATTCCATTAATGTAAAACCTTGATCTTGTGGAAATCTAACAAGTGACCATCAACATCAACATCAACATCTAATGTAAAGATAAAGATTCTTTAGATGTAATGCTATTTCTGAAATATTAAAACAAAAATAAAATAATTTTTGTGGAATCAATTAATTGTAATATTTTTTTTTCTTGAAGTTGATTAGAGTCATTAAATGTGATTTTTAGTCAAAACCAGAAATGTATACAATGTACCATTGTATAAATGCAGCACCATTTTTCACCACTCTATAAATGCAGTTTCTAGGAAATATATCTGCTCTCAGCATTTCTGCTTTTTCTGCTTCATCTACAAGTTGTCAGGGCTGTAGGCAGCTGTTTTAACTTCCCTTTACGTGACTGAACTTTGAACAGTTTTTTATAAGATGAACTGGTGTAACACAGCGTGTGTCATTGCTCTGTTGAAATGAAAGCTTGTGATGGACTTACAAAATGTGTTCATTCCTCTACTGCTGTCTTGCACCACTGTGTTTACAGGTTAGTGAATTATTACTGCGTTTTTCGCATTTAAAAAACTGAACTAATGTCATATGCTGCCGTTTTTTCTCCTAAATATTCAATAGAGAAATTATGCAGTAAGTTTAATGCATCATTTTTGTGTTCTCGACTGCAAAATGCAGTATAAAGTTAATAGCTATATGATCAAAATTCTTCGTGAAATGATTATAGTGCTAAATCTAGTTCACCAGAACATAGCCTTCGTACAGTATTTATATCATCTCTTGTAACATTTACAAACTATCTTTACAAAGTTTTCTGTTTGAGATGGTGAAAAGATATTGATTTTAATCATTTTTCTTTTCCTGTATCATTTCCTCTAAATATCTCTCCTTCTGTTGATCTGAACTGATTTACTGAATATATTCAAAAATTTTTTTTGCATTTGCATTTGCCAAGAACTCACTAAGAATGATGGATAAACATAAAATTAAATATTCTTTGTTGATTATATTAGACATTATGTATTTAAGGAAATATGTATATTAGACATGTATATAAGGAAAGCTTCTTTCCTTATGTTATTATGTTATACTCTCTCTTTTTTTTCCAGTACTGCATGGACAGAAAGTTGTCACTAATCTTAAAGTTACTGGGTACCAGGGTTATGATGTCACACTGTTGTGCCAATATATCCATGGAAACACAGAAGACAAAATACAACAAATGCAGTGGACGTGGCAGAATGAGTCCAGTAAATGTGAAATCATGGTCTTTAGCATGGACCATGGTCTTTCTCTGCATGACACATTCCTGAAAGACAGAGTCAGCTTCAGTAAGAGCTCTCCTCCGATCTATGAGGCCTCCATCATCATCAAAGATGTGAAGATGAGTGATCAGGGAGTTTACAGCTGTGCCTACACAACCTACCCTAGCAGCAGTCATACAGGACAAACCACTCGTACAGTGTTAGAAGGTATGCAAGTAAATGGTCATTTAAATTGACCAAGGCATCTAAAGAAACTGTTGCTGTTATTTTAAGTAGAAGGCCTAGTAGCACATTAGCCTGATCGTATTAAGCATTATAAGTAGGCTACTGTCATTTTACATACATACATACACACACACATATATATATATATATCTGTCAAAACTCTTTTTCCTTTTTATTTTCTAACCCACCTCTACCCATAAACCTAACAATTCTGGGGACTAAGAAGAGCAATAATCTGACAGGGGTCAAATTTCAGCAACAACCTGGTCCTTGAATTTGATTGGCTGAGTGGCACATTAGGTCCCATATTGCTGGGACTTTTCCCTGAATGTATCACTCCAAATGTCTGCGTTTGAGTATTCTAGACAGAGTTTGTGTGTTAGTGGTGGGGTATAGACTCTTTTTTCGGTTTACATATTTAAGCCAGTATCAATAGCAGAGATGGGCATAAATACAAAATACTGTGTGGAAAAATGTATTTAAATACAAATACAGTATTTTGTATTTTGAAAATACATGTGAAATTTGCCATCCAATGTAGACATCCCTATAGGCTAAAATCTATCTGGACTTAATCTGAATGCAAAAAATAAAATTATAATTATTTCATGTAAAATTTATTTTGTTGTATATAAAGTTTATTCAAATTAGAAAGTATACATTTAAAGGGGTCATGAACTGACTTTTTTATTTTATTTTATACTGTTGTCTGAGGTCCACTTATGACATTCGCATGGTTTTTACATTAAAAAACATCAAAATCAATAAGTAATAGGTTATTTTCTACCCTGGTTTTGATGCCAGCTCGAGAAATGCTTGGTTTTTTATGGCCGTGCCGCATTGAAGACTTGGAAGTAAACACCCACTGCTATGATTGGATAATAGTTTTGCATAGTAAACTAACTTTCTGTGTGTCTGTGTAACTTTCTCTGTGTCCTTCATAGTTGGAGCCTTCTGTGACTTTGGTTAGACACATACATATAATCAGTACATATCAAGCGATCTCTAACAAAGCAATAGTGACACAGTACAAATATTTTTTACTCACATATGTGTGCTGCGCCATTCCTGTCGGATCCAATATAGACAGCACAGCACTGGTTTTTAATCTCAGTCTCTCTGCAAATCCAGCGTCGACCTGTGTCTTGTTTCCAACGGAATCCGCGCGGTGAAATAAAGCGAACAAACCATCAATGATTTACTCATGTGAGCTGAAACTTCATTAAAAATAAAGTTCAACCACGCATTCCTAATATTTGAATCTGAAGGAAGGTTATGCAGCGACTGTGTTCTTCCACAACCAGCAACTGCACAATATATTGTGATCTTCAACGGCATGTGTAATGTTATTGCTTGGTTGCTCGATCCGGTTTAGCGCCAATTATGTTATTTCCCTATGTCATGCGGGAATCAGTGGGCGGGGCTACAGAATTAGGCGTTGATATTCTTCTGTGGAGGCGGAGTTTAACCTATCTATTATGTCATAGGTAGGCACATTTCAGGATCTGGTGTTTGCTGGGCCTGATGTCAATAAAAGCTTTTATTTCAGTAACAAGGATGTTTTCAGTTCTGAAACTTACAGGATATTCTTTAAGTACGATGACCTTGTATATATCAAAAGCTCAAGTAAAAGTTGATTTTTCAATTCATGACCCCTTTAATTACTTGCTCAAAGTTTTTTGTTTTTTTTTGTAGGCTATCAGTAGTAATCAATAATCAGTATTGTTCAATTTAGTGTTATAGGCTACACATATGTTATCATATTCATACAGTATGTTTTGTTCTAATGTCACAAGTCATAATCTCAAGTTTACTGGGTTTTACACGATTCTTTGATTCTTTTTTGTGGGTTTAAGTAGTGTACTCAAAAACATTTTCACATGTGTCCTCCAAAATGACCCACAATCAGTTAATATGTGAAGAAATCTATTTATTCCTAAAGTTCTCACGAAATGATTGTTTGACAAACTAGGAAGGAGCGCGCAATCAGCAGGTTCGCGGTGTAGAGGCAGGTGAAAGTATGAACAAGGCTTCAACTGCACAAACCGCTTCCACTACGAGAGAAAGTGCCAGATGATTCCACGTCCCGTGTGAAAGAGCCTTTTTTATGGAGTGAATAATGTGTCGAAATTAAACAAACAAATCCAGTATTTTGCAAACAAACTTGATCTGCTTTGCAAAGGAATACTCGACTCGCAAACAAACAGAAAGCGATTTGCAAATACAATGGTCAGAGTGAGCGAAATCGTAGAGGTGTAACAAATAAACGTAAGGTTAATTATAGATACAGTAAGACAGAAACCCACCTGTTCACCGCTCATTTTCATAAACGTGTTTCAGCGCTTCTCCCGGGAGACTATTGTAAAATCACCCATAGCGCCATCTGCTGTTTTGAAATAGGAAGTTGCTCAATTTGTGAGAAAATCAAGCCAAGTGATGGCATAAAAGGGCGAGTGTCTCACAATCAAAACAGCCCAGCATTTGTATGCACTAAATTTGGTATTTTTTCAAAGGTTACATGCAATTCGTAGCATTGATTTGTGAAATATGATGTACGCTCATGTATATTTGTAAAGCATACGTTTATTTGACACCTCTGCGATTTCGTTCACTCTGACCATTGCATTTGCAAATCGCTTTCCGTTTGTTTGCCAGTCGAGTTTTCCTTTGCAAAGCAGATCAAGTTTGTTTGCGAAATTTGTCTGTTTAATTTTGGCACATTATTCATTCCATACTTTAAGTCAAAAGTATAGGCCTACTTGTCGGCGTTCCACTCCAGTCTCTGAGCACGCGCACACAAAAAAAACCTGAATTTAAAAGTGTGAATTAAAATTTCCTTTCGCGGCATACTGCACTTAAAATAAGTGCAACTGCACCAAGCACGTCACACTCTATTACTCAACCATTTGTCCATGATTCTTTTTCCACTCCAGCGTTTTCCCACTAAAAACTGCATGGATATATTTGCTTACCCCGATAGCGATAGGCCTTTTTCTATGTAAACGATTTAGAAAACGTTCAATCAATTCACACTTCATTTAACTATTCACACTTTATATTATTGCCACAATGTGTATTGTCATATCACCCTGCCCTAACATGCAGTAATGCTTTAAACCAGTGGTGTAGTGGTGCCTGGAGAAGTGGGTATACTCTTAATTTATGCCCCATGACATGTGTTATAAACAGTGACGTGTAAAACTAGTCTTGTATATTTAGTTCACCCCAAAATGGGCCAGTAGTATTTGCATATTGTCACTTAACTTCTGCTGCTTGACTTCACGGAGTAAGAATCATTATGAAATTAAAATTTGCCACAGAAGAGGAGCAGATTTTGCAATAATTAAAACAAATTTAAAAAATAGACTGCAGCAATTAACATTTTGTCAGAACCTCTAGTACAGGGCTGCCCAAACTCGGTCCTGGAGGGCCGGTGTCCTGCAGAGTTTAGCTCCAGCTTGCCTCAACACACCTGCCTAGAAGTTTCTAGTATGCCTGGTAAGAGCTTGATTGCGACTGATGAAGAAGTGGGTATACGCCGTATACCTGCGTATACCCTCCACTACACCACTGCTTTAAACACATTTGAGAAGCTAGTTGATAAAAAAACAACAACGATTAGGCTAACTATCAAAACTGATTGGCTAACGCTATTTTTCCCCTTGTTGTTGGTGCTCTTTTATTCTTTCATGTTAACTGAAGGCAAATCTGAATGATGCACTATTTTAACTTTAATCAGCATGTACAATTGACCATGACATCCTCACCCTATATTATTCCAGAAAAGTCCCCCACCCAATGCTGAATGGAGCTGTAGAGCTGCAGCTCACATGCATGAATATTGGGGGTTGGGGGTAGGGGAGGTGTCTGAACTAGTTGATGCACAATATCAGCACCCTGATAAAGAGGTTGACTGGCAGTCTGGCACAAAGTATTTTATGTATTTTGAAAATAGAAAATTATCTTAAATGTATTTAAATACAAATTACATTTTATTTTTTCCAAAGGCTTTAAAATACAAAATACAACATTTTGTATTTCAGATATGTATTTTAAATACATGTATCTGAAATGCTGCCCATCCCTTGTCAATAGTAAACTGTCTTTATGAATGAGTCATTGAATCATTGACTAATTTGATCAACAAGATTTATTCAGGAGTGCCACCAGTGGACAGGACCTTTCGTCATTTTTGTTAATGGAGCAAAAATAGACAAATACCTAGCAATATTTTGTTTTAAAAAAAATTAGTATATTAAGTTCTTGTTTAATGAACTGTTGTAATGCTGATGGTCTGACTATAAGCAAAGGTGCATCCACACCATGCCATAATTACCTTAAAGGGTTAGTTCACCCAAAAATGAATATTAGCCTGTGTTTTACTCACCCTCGAAGCATCCTAGGTGTATGTGACTTTTTTCTTTCAGACGAATCCAATCGGAGTTATATTAAAAATACATTAAAACTAACCCTTTAATTATGAGATTCCAACGTGTCCTTGTAGAACTCGTAATTGCAACCTGTAAACTGACCACTGCAGACTCACCAGAACAAACCTCTGAGTTAGGATAGGATAGGAATAAAAGTGGAAAGTTTGGTGTATGTAAGTGCTACTAAAGTGGAGATTTCTGGCTCAGTGCAGGGGGAAAAAAAAACACTTTTTTTAAGAAAATAACCTTTAAATACATATACTGTAACTGAAATCTACAGGCGCAAACAAATAAACAAGATTTATTCAGGAGTGCCACCAGTGGACAGGACCTTTCGTCATTTTTGTTAATGGAGCAAAAATAGACAAATACCTAGCAATATTTTGTTTTAAAAAAAATTAGTATATTAAGTTCTTGTTTAATGAACTGTTGTAATGCTGATGGTCTGACTATAAGCAAAGGTGCATCCACACCATGCCATAATTACCTTAAAGGGTTAGTTCACCCAAAAATGAATATTAGCCTGTGTTTTACTCACCCTCGAAGCATCCTAGGTGTATGTGACTTTTTTCTTTCAGACGAATCCAATCGGAGTTATATTAAAAATACATTAAAACTAACCCTTTAATTATGAGATTCCAACGTGTCCTTGTAGAACTCGTAATTGCAACCTGTAAACTGACCACTGCAGACTCACCAGAACAAACCTCTGAGTTAGGATAGGATAGGAATAAAAGTGGAAAGTTTGGTGTATGTAAGTGCTACTAAAGTGGAGATTTCTGGCTCAGTGCAGGGGGAAAAAAACACTTTTTTTAAGAAAATAACCTTTAAATATATATACTGTAACTGAAATCTACAGGCGCAAACAAATAGTAAAGTGCAATAAAATAAAAACCTGAATGTATATTCTTGTTTCCTTTCCACTAGTCTGAAACAACACGTCACAGAAATCAAACAGAATCAAAAAATCTTAAAAATTGACCCACACATAAAAAAAGTTTTTGCCTGTAGTGTCTTGCCTTAATTAGCCTACATATTAACTGAAGCGTTATTTGGCTATTGTGTAAAAAATGAAACAATTATAACCTTTTAACTACATTTTTAAGTTTTCTGAAGAATGAGAGTTGCTTGCCTCTGCTGTAATGGTTCCTAATCCCACAGTTTTATCACCCATTTTAGTGTCTGCAAGGTGAAAATAAGAAGCACAATTTTAGGTATCATTCTTGTTAGTATCACAATGAATCACCAAAGTTTAATACTCTGAGTCAGTGGTGAAAGTGAATAGAAAGTGCGCATTACAATCATGAATGCTGTTTCACCCCCAGACTTACTACTGATTTACATTGCTGGTTTATTACCTGTCCACAGGCAGTCCTCCTGTTCTGTCCACCGCTGAGGCTGTAGGGATTGTGACTGCTGCTCATCACTATGATTATAGCTGTTGTGGGGTATTTATTCCTACGCAACAGACGGTATGTTACTACAAAACATTTAGCATTTAGCAAATGCATCAGCCAACTAGCAAAGCAAAAAAAATAAAATAAATTAATAACTTTTGCTACACAGGGTTTTAAATGATCAAATCCATTTTCAAAGGTTCTTTAATTTTTCATAAAATTGATTTAGATCTATTTTTATTCAGTTTTTGATTAATATGATTAATCCAGCACAGTAAAACCAAGATAATGTGCCAGCATTAGACATATTTATACAAACACAACATACTCCATCACTGTCTTTATCTTCACTGAAACTAACAAAAAGCACATACTGAATCACAGTAAAAACAATAGTAAAGTGGCTGAGCTGTAACTAATAAATTCATTATCATGTTCAGTATTCAGTATAAGGTTATCACAAGATGTTAAAACACCTTTAACATTTCTTTTTTTATGTTTTGCTACACATGGAAGAAGAGCCGGCAGCAATTTCACTTATTGTAAGTATTAACTTAACATGGGCTGTTTAAAATCTCCCTTTTTAAAGGAAATAATCATTGTGAAACTGCTATTTTTATTCAGTTTTTGATTAATATGATTAATCCAGCACAGTAAAACCAAGATAATGTGCCAGCATTAGACATATTTATACAAACACAACATACTCCATCACTGTCTTTATCTTCACTGAAACTAACAAAAAGCACATACTGAATCACAGTAAAAACAATAGTAAAGTGGCTGAGCTGTAACTAATAAATTCATTATCATGTTCAGTATTCAGCATAAGGTTATCACAAGATGTTAAAACACCTTTAACATTTATTTTTTTTATGTTTTGCTACACATGGAAGAAGAGCCGGCAGCAATTTCACTTATTGTAAGTATAAACTTAACATGGGCTGTTTAAACTCTCCCTTTTTAAAGGAAATAATCATTGTGAAACTGAACATATTGCTAATTCTTGCATGATAAATTACTTTTATGTTTCTCATTTGTAAATTTCTGTAGATAAAAGTATCTTCTATGAGTAAATGCAAATAGGAACAGATTTTAAAATTAATTAATTAATCTTATGCAAATCTGAGGATGCCATTTATGGATCTGTAAGTACAAATTGCAAAATTGAGGGTATGGCTTCAAAAAATTGGTGAGTACGGATTACAAAATCATGGGGACAGACTTTCAGACGGGATTGTATAGGGGGCTCTTTACTTTCCCCTTTGCTCTTGCACTTCTAAGTCACGCCTTTAGACCTTTGATTCCATTCCTCTTCTATGAAACCATGTATCATGATGCTATTTGACCAGTGTTTTACCTCTTTACTAGACACAACTCATAGCCCCAGTGACCTACAACAGGTGAGACTTCCTGCTGCTGAGAACAACATCTCAACTGTGGGAGAAAAAGTTATTTAGTGAAAGATGCAATCAATCCCTAATCTCATAAACAAGTCATATTTCACAAGTGTCAAACCATGAGCTTCTGTAAATGACTCAACTTCTCTTTACCTGTATTAGGATGTCACATATTCTGATGTCACAATACTGAAACCAGGTAAAGCTAACAGAAGCACCTCGTCATCGGGGGACATTGAATACGCTGCGGTTTCCTTCAGTGGTCGGTCAGGATCAGCGTCACTGCGAGCCTCAGCCAATCAGACTGCTTTGGGTTTCCACACAGCAGAGCCAGGAAACTGTGTACGCACAGGTGAAAAAAGACTGATTTTGAGTACAAACGTCACATCCACTACAGATTTCTGTTAATGAGGTGTTTGAACAGTAGAGACAATAAAGGGCCGATCACACCAAGGACGACAACTATAACATTTTAATAATCATTCTAATTCTAATAATAGGGAAGTCCACACCCCAGCTATAATGATAATGACAGAGGAACAATATTGTTGGAATCACCTTTTTCCAGCTGATGGAGGACAAAACCATTGACCATCTGACTTTAAAGAGCTTGAGCATTTATAGCAGCAGACAACAAAACTCCAGCTTATAATAAACAAAACGTCATAGTCCGTTAGCTATGGACAATTATGAATTTATCGTTATTGTTATCGTTCTTGCTGTGAATGGACTGATAGCCGCCTTTCCCGACCCCATCCCCCTCTCTCTCACATACTTCGCTTCCTGTCAAAACCTACTGTCCTATCAAAATAAAAAAGCAAAAATGACAAAAAAAATCCCCTGCCAATATGGCCCAAAAACTGACACTAACAGTGTTTAAAAAGCGTGCTTGTTCTCTTTTTAGAGCTAGACTTGAGTCTGTGTGGTCTATGCAAAAAGTCACAAATCTTAGCACTTCTTAAAATGAAAGAAATGAGCTGATTTAAATACATACCAATACATACTCACTGTGAACATTTATTCCTAAGTGTCCCTTTATTTTCATCACTTTGTGGGCTTTGATTTAGATTTAGAATAACAAAATTGCCTGCAGAAAAACACAATCCAGTCTGTACACAGCATAAGGGTCGACAATTAAAAAAAAAAAGTACAATAAAAAAATGGAAAAATTAATGTTGTTAAAAACAAATTAGTATGGATTTTTTAGTACAGATTTGTATTCCAAAGGATTTTTTTTTTTGCCTATAGTTTTAACATTACATGATCAACTGGTTGGAAAAGCTCCTCAACCTCTAAAAACTCACCCGCTGATACATTCATTTAAAATATCCTCTGCACCTCAAAATGTAATGTAATATTAATGTAAATAACCATCATTTTATATGCAATACACATTTGTATAGAAACATTTTAAAGAATAATAATAAAAAAAGAGGTTCAGTGCCATTTTGGAACATCTGTGATTCTTCTATTTTCTTCTTAATTCCATCAGTCATTTTCAGTGCACTGATGTGTGTGGGAAAAATGTTAAGCTGAACCACAACATCAGATGTCTGACTTTCTGTTTCTAAAAAACTCTGATCTGTGGTGAATGCAGACAAGCACATGAGTGCAAATTTGGCTTGAGGTATGTGGTGTGATTTTCAGCACTATTTACGGACTCAAAAGTTCTTGCAGACAGATCAAAGTCCACGTTTTAATGAACACACAGCTCCTCATTTCAAATAACATACATATTCAGTCAGAGTTGATCTCCTCAGTATCAATAAAGTATCTCTATTTTTAATTTCCAATTCAGACAACACAACCCCAGAATTAAATTACACAGACAGTGAATTTAAAAATAAGTACAGTACAGAAAAGTAAGAATATCTGTTTAGAATATCTTTTTAATTAACAAGTTTGTGTTTCATAGCGTTTTTGTCCTCCGTTAACGCATGTGCTCTCATTCTGTCGCGGTCTGGCTCTGATCTGGACAGTATCATTGAGACAATGATGTCCAAAAGAGAGCATCGCTGTGCTACTTCCTGTGTATGACCTCTATCGTAACATAGAGACCGAGTTCAGTCATTGAAGGGAAGGAGAGTCTGTGCCTCTGATCGCAAGCAGACGTCTGTGTGCTGCCTGAAGGTCAGAATCACGGGGAAGTTTAATATCTCTGTGCTGCCTGCCGTGAAGCATTTCTAAATCCTCAGACTGAGAGTCTTAAATCTTTACCATCACATTTTCAAGGTTGTTTCAGACACGGTCAGTGTTATAGTACATTGTTCAGTAGTACAAAAGAATCATTGATGTGACGCATGGCTATTAAAAAAAAAAGCAAAAAAAAAAAAAGCACAATGCTCTCGTACCAAATAAAAGATGGAAAGCGCAGTTGTCTGTGATTTTGAACAAAAGGGGCAAATATTGCAAAAACGAGTCATAATTTTGTCTCCCCCTTTTGTCAGTCTCTCTGCTCTCATTTCTGCTCTCCCATCAGGTCTGTGTTGTTGCTAGACTGAGGTGGTGGTAAAGTGCAGCCTTTTGCTGGCGGGGAGTGGCCTATCCGGCACGGGCTCGGCCCACCGCCGCCTTCGCTGTCTGTATTGGAGGATGAGTGTGGAGGGGGCGGGGCCAGGCGAGGCAGAGGGCCAGAAGAGGGAGGGATGCGTGTGCAAGAGGTTGTGCGTAGACTCTGGATACGCCGGCACTCCTGGCAAATGCGCACATGAGTGCAGCCCCGTGGCAGAGGCACTGTCACTGCAGGTGGACCCAGGGCCACTGTGGGGGTGCTGTTGGCAACTAACGGGTCCTCCAGAAGTCGCTGGGGGCCGGGGCCCATGTCTGAGGGGCCTCCTCCTGGCCCTGAACTTCCTGTCAGGGGTCCAGTACCGCTGTAGAGCTTTCCGTTGCTAAGGCGCATCTCTCGGACAAGGTGCAGGGGCCTCGGGGCCCCTAAAGTGATGCGAGTGGGGTGTCGAAGGGCCAGAGAGCTGGACAGGGGTCGGCGGCGGCGAAGACGAGAACTTTTCTTGCAGGAAACGGCGTTACGGAACTCTGTCAACATCTCTTGACATACAGACACCTGAACATTTAGAAAAATATATTAAACGCTTGAACAAAGGAAGATTAGTATTTATCACAGCTATATACACACATATATATCACAATTTATATATATATCTTAGCATATATAGCAACATAAGCACTACCATTTGGAATAAATACATTTTTTGTATATATATATATATTTTTTTTTATTTTTTATTTTTTTTTTATAAATACAGTTTTTGAAAGAAGTCTTTAATGCTCATCAAGGCTGCATGTATTTAATCAAAAATACAGTGAAAACAGTAATGTCGCAAAATATTATTCGGAAATCATTCTAATATGCTGATTTGCTGCTCAAGAAACATTTCTTATTATTATCAATGTTGAAAACAGTTATGCTGCTGAATATTTTTGTGGAAACTGTGAAACACTACCATTCAAAAGTCTGGGTTAAGTAATATTTAATAAAGAAAATAAAGACATTTAGAATATCACAAAAGATTTACATTTTAAATAAATGCTGTTTACTGAACTTTCTATTCATCAAAGAATCCTGTTTACATAAAAATATAAAGCAGTTATTTCAGATTTCACAATATTTCTGTTTCTAACTGTATTGTTAAACAAATGAATGCAGCCTTGGAGAGAATAAGATACTTCTTTCAAACTCATTAAAAAAAATGTTTAGTTTTTTTACCTTTTGTATATATCACAGAAGTATGTATTACAGATTTTTACACAAGTAGTCATGCACACCGTAACACAACCACTGACTTGGACTTCACTACGACACACACTAAGGCGAGGAGTCGGCGGGTTGCTTTGTAACCTACTGTAGAGTGACTGTGATATTGGCGGTCGCAGGAGAGAGGCCGTACCTCGTCTGTTTCAGCTGATCGGCGTGTGGACCACACAAACTCCATCACAGCCACAAACACAGCAATAATCAGGCCACAGATTAACACCACAAATATACCGCCAATGTTCTCCATCCCAAGACCTGCAACAGCCAATTAAACACTTTTAAACAATCTGCATCTATGAATCTTTAATCACAGACAGAGAAAATAATAAATATACTTTTCTAAAGTCGGCATGAAGTGGAAATTCACCTTATCTATTTTGTAAATGCAATTGAGCTTATTGTGAATAATTCATCCATTGTGTTTCATTTTTTAAAAATTAGTTTTGACCTCATTGATCATTTGATCATTTTTAATCAAAATGTCATAATTGATCTTCCAGAAATGACAGACTTCTCTCTGGTGATGCATGTCAGACTTTTCCAATCATTTAGTCCACCTAAACCCAGTCCCTTTCTTACAATTCACTTTCTAACAATTGACTTAAAGGGATAGTTCACCCCAAAATTAAAATGACTTACTCACCCTCAAGCCATCCTAGCTGTATATGACTTTCTTCTTTTAGATGAATAAAATTGGAGTTATATTAACAAATGTCCTGGTTCTTCCAAGCTTTATAATGGCAGTGAATGGTGGTCAAGATTTTGAAGCACAAAAAACTGCATCCATCCATCATAAAGAGTATTCCACACTGCTCCGGGGGTTAATAAAGGCCTTCTGAAGCGAAACGATGCATTTGTGTAAGAAAAATATCCATATATAAATAAATGTAATATTTTAATTAAAATTAATCAAAATTTTAAAATTAATTTTAAATATATCCATATTAAAAACTTTAAAACCGTTATCTCTATCTTTCGCTAACTGTCCTACATGTGTTCACAAGAGAGTGGCGTTCCAGCGGATGATGTAGGACGTAGGCGTAGCGTCAGCTCCAGTGAGAATATGCTAGCCATGTGGAATACTTTTTATGATGGAT